TTGGTGCCCTTGAAACCCAACACAAGAAAATAGGACTTGTAGGCTCTCAAATTGCAGCTTTCATGCAGTAGTAATGAAACAGTATAATCACTCTGAGTAAATCTGCCACCTTTTAGCTTTTACAGGATAATATGAATTATAAAGAAACAAATCCCCAAATCTAAATAGTATTGGGTTTGATCTTTCTTGTTTTATGTCATCTGCTAGATTTTGAGAACTTCAGGAGAGTCAGAGAAAGAGTATAATGTTAGGTACCAAAATATTAGGTTACATTTATGATGATGTTAAAGATTGGGCAATCATACTTTAAAATAGTAAGTTTATAGTTTTTTTTTGCTAATAATCATTTTATCTGTTGTGTATTTGGTGAGGCTTTTATAGTGAATATTCTTTTAAGCCTGACAAATTAAATATAAGAGAAGTCCTAATTGGAGCTTTCTTGACTAAATATAAATATTTCAGGAGGAATGAGGTAGAAGGGATTCATAAAACTTAGCTAGTTAGACACCCAGCTGCATATATTTATTTATAGCCTTCTATCTTGCTCATTTATGTTCTTACAGTATAAAACTGTCTTTAAAAATTAAAATTAAAAGACTATATATACACCTATAATAGGAGCCTATTTAAAAATAATGGAGTAAATTATGAAAAACAAATGAGCTTTATTTGGTACCTTTTGAACATTATTGAATTCTAGAGTTGAAAATACTTGTTTAAACTAATATTTGTAGCTATGGTAATTTTATTGGTACAGGAGCTATGCCAACTCTAAGTAAAATACGTTCTAATTAGTGTAGGCTTAGTGTTTTTGTTTAATGGACACCAATTTTATTCATGATATTCAAGACATGCTTAGTACCAGTGAAACAGCATGAAAAGTATGCTCTTTATTGTTTTTAAAAACTACCCAATTAAGGATATGGAAGTAAATCTTTAATGAGATAGCTCCTCTGACACTAAAAGAGATGACTATGTCCTGCCTGCTCTTGGCAAAACCAAAATTAGATTGTTGGATGATTGGATAACTTGGTCATGAAAAAGTTTATTCTCTAACTCGAAGTTAGCAAACTGTGATCCGTGTACCAAACCCTGACTGTTTTTGTAAATAAAGTTTTATTGGAACACAGCCATACTCATTCATGGACATATTGTCTGTGCTTTTGTGCTACAGTGGTAGTGTTGAGTAGTTATGGATCATATGATTCACAGTGCTGAAAATAGTACTGTTTGGCCCTCTAGGGAAAAGTGTGCTGACCCCTGCTCTAGATCTAAGTTTTTTGCAGTCAGATCATGTTAAAATTCTGGTGGAGGTTTATGAAGTTAGTATTTTTGTGTTTAATTTCTCATTCTGCTTCATTCTAAGAAACAATGCATTTTAAGATAGAATACTTAAATATTTATATATAAATATGTAATATATTTAATTATTTAATATATTATTTAATATAATATATATTTATATATATATATAATTTTAAGTGCTAGTTTCCAGCTTTCTCATCGACAGGTAGGCCTAATACTACCTTGCAGGGTTGCTCTGAGGAGTCAGTGAGAAATGTAAATAAAATGTTTAGGGTGCTTGGCATCAAGAAGGAATTCAAGCAATGAGGAGGTATAATTAGGGGAAGTTTAGGTGTTTATTTGGGTAATTTAGGATGGCATGCTTTCTAAAAATTTTCTTTCTTTTTTTTCTTTCTTAAATTTTCTAAAAATCTCTAAATTCTAATTTGTCCACAGAACTAACTGGCTATAGAATCCTAGTTTATCTATGTTCTTAATATAACATTGGTGATTAACTTCCCTCCATCTTTTCCTCCCTCCCTCCTTCCCTGCCTTTGTCTCTCTTGTCTTCTCTTCTTCCTGAACTTCATACCTTCCTCTCTGTTTCCTTTTTGATCTATGTAAGCCTTGGTACTAAATTTAGGTCAGTGAGTAGTAAGTACTCCTAGGGAGAGTATACAGAGAACCTAACACATAGAAAGAAGATTCTCTCTTATCCTTAGTTCCGTTTTCTAGGAAACAAAGGAACTCTAAAATCTTGTAATCTCCCTCCCTTTATTCGTTTTTTTTTTTTTTTTTTTTTTTTAGAGAGTGAGCGTGCGAGTGGCTGTCCTGTTATTCTTATGTGATTATGTGTAGCCATCTACGTGTGTGTAAAATCTGTTTTTACCGCAGCAAATTTTAGGGCAGATCTTGAGTTTTGTCTTGAACCTTGATGCCAAGGGTTCACCTTTAGACAGGCATGGTTTTCTCCTAAGAGACCAGACAAATAGATGATAGATAGATTCTCCTTAACATTTTGAAGGAAATTTAGAGATTGAGTGATGAAAAAATTGACCCTAGCAGGGTCACTTAGTTGTTTCCTTGTTTGATGAAAACAAATTTAAAAACTGAGTTATTTTCCTTGACTTTATTTTTAGGAGATCACTTTGAAACCTGGGACCTAGCCTTTTCAAGTTACTATAAAACCGGTATTAATATAAATAACAAAGCAAAAAAAAATCATAGAATAGTTTTTGTTTTTATTGACATTTATTATTTTGTGGTAGTTTTTAATTTTTGCAGGTATCGTGAGAAAGGATATGGGAAAGCAGTGAAATTCTAGGATGATATTGAGGTAGGCAGCCTGGGTCCAAGGATCCAGAGTGGGGGTTCTCCACAGGACCAGCCAAGAGGGTCCTTGGCTTTGCGCAGGATAGAAATCAAACATGAGCTGGAGAAAGTGAAAGAGTTTATTGAATAGCATGAACGACAGAGAATAGCAGATGGTCTGTCTGGGAAGTTTGGAAAGGAAAAGTGAATGAGTCTTATTGTCGCTTGGGGCTAGGGGTTTTAAATTGGAAAGGGGTCTAGGGCATGTGTTCCTTTGGGAAACCAGGTAGGGTCCAATCAAAGGCAAGTGTCAGGTGAACAATAGGTGTTATTTCATAAATTACTGAAGGTAGCAGTATTGATGGCAGTGTCAGCCAAGATTTATTCAAAGCTAATGTCCTGGACCACATTTGGGATTCAGCTCTTCTTAGATGTTATCAGGTATTTGGGGCCTAGGGAACATTAAAGTGGGAACATAGCTTCTTTGGCTTATTCAGAGGCAAATATGGATTATGAGTAAATGGAGCCTACCAGAAAAACAGAGCCTTTCTAGAATGGAGTCCCTTCAGCTTCTTTACCTTAATAGTTACAGCATTGGGAGACCCTTAGATAATAGGATTAACAATTTCCCACATTTCTTAAGGTTCTAGTCTCCCTCATTTGAAAAACTTTTTTTTTTTTTAGAATTTATTTACTTATTTATTAGTGAGTGAGAGAGAGAAAGCAAGAGAGAGAGAGAGAGAGAAGAAGCAGGGGGAGAGGGAGGGAGAAGCAGACTCCCCACTGAGCAGGGAGCCCGACAGGGGGCTCGATACCCAGACGTGGGGCTTGATCCCGGACCTGAGCCAAAGACAGACACTTAACCGACTAAGCCACCAGGCACCCCTGAAAATCTTTTTATTCACAGTGAATTTAATTATGTTTTAGTTTAGTTTAACTAAATTTGTTTGTTTGTGGTTTAAAAAGGAGTTCAGAATGGGTCAGAATTTCTCATTGAAAGTTCCAACCTTTTTTTTTTATGTTATGTTAATCACCATAGATTACATCATTAGTTTTTGATGTAGTGTTCCATGATTCATTGTTTGCGTATAACACCCAGTGCTCCATGCAGTACGTGCCCTCTTTAATACCCATCAGGAAAGTTCCAACCTTTTTAAAGCTAATACTTAAATGCATTAAACCTAAATTTTATGTGCTACTTTTCTATTAAAGGTAAAGTGTTCTTCCTCTTTTCTCATTTATTTTACAGTAAGCTGAGATTTTGGTAGAGGCAGATTTTAATCCCTAGTCCTCTAGGCTCTGTGAGTCACACAGGGACACTGAATGGTTTTCTTAGAACTGCAGTTTTAGTATAAAGTTAGGGACATAAATGTCGAATGTACCTTATTTTATGTATCAATAGGAACCAGACAGCAAGGTTTAAAAAGTAATTTTGTGTCTGGAAATAGGTAGATAACATGGAAGATGGGGGATTATTTAATTTAAAAAAGGTTTTTTTGAGAGGTTAAGAATTTTATCTTGCCAGGATACAGGGAGAGAGGGAGGAGAATTCTAAGTCTTGGTGAAACATAACTCAAAGACATACAGTTAGTGTTAGCATTCTATTTGCTTGTATATGGAAAAACCAGTAACAGATTGATTTACTTTATCAAAGGAAAAATAGGAGCAGGGGAAAAGAAAAAAAGACATACTTGGGAATAGTGAAGTTTGTTTCCCTTTACTTGCCTATGTTGCTGATGAACTGGCAACTAGTAAAGAGGACAATCAGGATATTCTGCCCTTGGTAGGTAGATGGGTCATCAATGAAAAACAGTTTTAGTTGTTTATGACTTCTCCAGAAGACGTTGGGTGTTTAACTGTGACTTCCATGTAAGAGGTTGTCTCTATATTATGTCTGCCACTGTCCTCATTAGCATTTCCATGCCAGATCTGTGTCAGAATTTCTCACTTACTTTTTATTACAGTCTTATTCCCATGATTTTTTTTTTTCATTTTGTATTTTTAGGTGTGTTAGATGGGCTTTCCAAAGGTTGATGCTCCATCTTCCTGTGGTTTTATAGGCCATTGTTAAGTCATTATTTTAACATTGTCTGTGTGTCATTTGTTAGTCTTCAGATCAAAAAGTCTTAGTCTATTTGAGACTATATGGGAGATCTGAACCACAATGTGTAAAGCGTTTGCAGGGGGTTTCTCTCCTCAGTTATTTAGAAGAAATTAGTAAACCAACAAAAAGTATTTAAGTAGTTTATGATCTTTTACCTTACTTTTGCTTTGAAAGTTTAGGTTAGGATTTTGGAATATTTTGCGAATTGCTTTTTATTTTATAGTTAGATTTACTATTGCTATGTGTGTTATCTTTGACAAAGAGTGGAAATAATCTTAAAGTAAATTCTGTTTCCTTACAGTCAAAGGCCGTTGGCTTGCTAGATGTGGATGTGTATGGCCCTTCAATTCCGAAGATGATGAATCTGAAAGGAAATCCAGAATTATCGCAGAGTAAGTAGAGATAGCCAGTATGATAATGTACCATGTGTACCTTCTACACAGTGTAGTATAGTAATTCTGAAATCAGATATGGAGCCAGACTGTCTGGGTTTGAATCCTAGCTCTGTCATTAACTGTGTGGCTTTGGGTGAATTGTTTTGTTTTGTTTTTTTTTAAAGGTTTTCTTTATTTGAGAGAAAGAATGAGAGAGAAAGAGCACATGAGAGGGGGGGAGGGTCAGAGGGAGAAGCAGACTGCCTGCCGAGCAGGGAGCCCGATGCGGGACTCGATCCCGGGACTCCAGGATCATGACCTGAGCCAGGCAGTCGCTTAACCAACTGAGCCACCCAGGCGCCCAGCTTTGGGTGAGTTGTTTAACCTCTTTGTACCTCACCTCTGCCCCATATGTAAAATAAGGTTGCTATGAGAAATCACTCAATTAGAAATTGCTGTTAAGTGTAATGCATTTGACTTAGTGCCCGGCACATAGTCAGTGATCATTATCTCTTTACATTATATGTGTGGATGTATGGAAGTATTTGAATAGAAAGTATATGTTTGTATTAAAAGACATGAAAATTATTTTTTTCTAATTAGATTTTTGTCATATTTGTCTTAAGGTATTAAAAAAAAACCTCCCAAAACAGTAGTTCTTTTGCCAGCCTTCACTGCTGTCAATAGGACAGTAATTTTTTGAGTAAATCTTTAATATTTACTGTGCTTGTTATTACACTTTCTTGCAAAGCCATCAAATATAAAGCATTAAGAACAAGGAAATGCTGTGATCAAAAGATTAAAGTATTGGAAAGGGGTGCCTGGCTGGCTCAGTTGGTAGAACATCAAGCCCCACGTTGGGCTGTGGAGGGTACTTAAAAAAAAAAGAAAAAATAGAAGTATTGGGAAAACTTGTAATTTCTTGAAAAATGGTTTTAAGTGAATGAAATTAATTTATTAAAATTTATTTCAAATTATAGGGTTGCCTGGGTGGCTCAGTGGTTAAGCGCCGACTTTTGATTTAGGCTCAGGTCATGATCTCAGAGTCCTGGGATGGAGCCCTGTGTTCGCTGTGTACTCAGTTGGGAATTGACCTGAAGATTCTCTCTCCCTCTACCCCCAGCCCGTCTGTGCTCCTGCGCACGCTCTCAAATAAATAAATAAATCTTTAAAGAAAATTGTATTTCAAATTATAATTAGAGTATATAATTGAATTTCTTTTCATTTCTTGTGCTTTTTCTTTTCCATAGATCTAGAACAAAATGACTATTTATCATAGGGTTTTTGTTGGAATATCTGTGTAAAAGAAGTATTTTGTTGTTGTTGTCATTAAATGTTAATTAGGCATTGTCTGCTATTTAGTGTGCTTTTTCGTTTGTGCTTTAGTTGTTGGAGTCAATTACAATGTTAAGTTCTGAATAATTGCAGGAAATTTGAAGATGTAGTGATGATAAAATCGACTCTAGCAGTCTTATATTGTAAGCACCCACTTAGTTTTCTTGTTTGATGAAAATACAAACTTAAAAACCTTAAGTTATTCTAGCTTCTTTGTTCTTTGTCCTTTCAAGTGGAATGCATACTTAGTTTGCAAATGTGTGACATACGCCAAGATGTCAAACTTCCACAAAGAAGGAGTAATGAATTTGCGTACTTTAAATGATAGACTTATTATGTCTGTCTCTTGATTAAAGTAATGTGAAAAGTGGTGCATGCAGCACATGAGTGATGGCAAAATGGAGCCCTTGGTGTCAGTTTTTTCTTAAGTAGTCTGTTCAGTCTATGCCAACATAAATACTTGAAGTGAACTTTAATTTCTTTCTTCTTGTTTTACTGAAGCTGTAATCTTAAATTTTTGCAAATTGGCTGCCATTAAATAGGCTTTCTGGTAAAGATGAGATACTGGAAATCTTGGAAAGCCTTAAAAGAATACTTTTGTGTTGACAAGCTGATCTTAAGTCACCCAAGAAATAAAATGAACGATTAAGGCAATCACTTGAAAGAATGTGGATTCTTAAAGGCCCAACTTATAAATTATTTTTTGAATCTTAGATAAACCTGCCACTATTATACTAATTGTCTTCATTTTGACATTTCTGTATTTTAACATGTTAATTTATCCTGTTGTACTCTCTATTGCAGAAAACAATGCAATATGAAATTATCTAATTAACAATAAAGAAAAACTGTGAAAGATTTGTTTTCAGCAGGCTGTAAATCTTTGTGTTTATGATTAGTACCTGTCTCAAGACAGATGGGTGTTGTTTTATGTCTCTTTCACTTTTTGAATTATATCAGAGAGCTATCCTTAAGATGTGTAGACTACTAGTATGGTGCATTTGTAATGTGGCCATATTTTTGGGGCTGTTTGTACTTCACATTTCTCTTTTCCAGTCTAATTCCAGGTTAAAAAAAAAACAACTTTTTTTCTTATTTCCTAATCTTCTGATCATTCCCAGTGTTTTTCAGAATTATTGGCACATTTTCAGTATCTTCTCTCAGATGAAAAAAATTAAAAGAACTTGCTATTGTTAGGTAGTGGGTGGATTAACTTGCAATTCTATCTTTAATACTCTATGTGCCTTGCAAATTTTTGCTTTTTAAAAGAGACTTCATTATTGCTGATTCATAGTTTAATAATTTACTGGGTACTTTAGAAACCTTTTAGGGGTACTTTAACAAACATGTTCCATTTCTTTTTTTTCTTTTCCTTTTTTTACATGAGAACAGAGCTTTATTTTTATTTTGGATTAAGATATAATTCATATACCATAAATGTCACCATTTCTTTTTTCCTTCTTTCTTTCTTTCTTTCTTTCTTTTTCTTTCTTTCTTCCTCTTTCTTTCTTCTTTCTTTCTTTCTTTCTTTCTTTCTTTCTTTCTTTCTTTCTTTCTTTCTTTCTTTCTTTCAGGTTAACAGAAAGTAAAGCATTTAGGAAGGTAGTTTGGTGAAAGCAGGATGTAAAATGAGTTTTGAAGGTGGAAGATGAGGTTGCCTGTGTGGCTTAGTTGGTTAAGCATCTGCCTTCGGTTCGGGTCATGATCCCAGGGCCCTGGGATTGAACTCCACGGCAGGCTTCCTGCTCAGTGGGGAGTCTCTTTCTCCCTCTCCCTTGTGCTCTCTCTCTCTCCTCTCTCAAATAAATAAATAAAATCTTTAAAAAAGCCAAAATAAAATAAGATAAAATATTGAAGCTGGAGATGTGGGAAATATTCAAATGTGAGTTGGAGACTACAGGAAAAGTCAAAAAGCCATAAAAAATAACACTATACTAAGAGGCATGAAAAGTTTTGTTAGTCTAGATCTGATGAGGCTAACTTAGAAGAAATTAGACATGTTACAAAAAAAAAAGTCATCTTTTTCACTTTCCTTCTGGATCTCTACTCTAGATTTTGTGTCTGTGGTGTGCATACAGGGTAATGGATTGAAATGAGATTTTGTTGTCAAAATTGGATAGATTTTGTACACCTATGTTCATAGTAGCATTATCACTGTTATTATTATGAATTTACCATTTATTACTCCATTATGTGGAAGCTATCCACCGTCTATCGGCAGATGAATAGATAAGCAAAATGTGGTATACACATACAATGGAATGTTATTCACTCTTAAAAAGGAAGGCAGGAGCTTCCTGGTTGGTGAACACATGATTTGGGGAGAGTGATGCGCTTGGAGAGGGCATGGAAGCTCTCTGTTCTTCCTCAGGTCTTGTCCTATACGTCTCCTCCACCTGGCTGTTTCTAAGTTATATTCTTTTAATTTAATTTAAAATTATTTAAATTTTATTTAAACTTTATTTAAAATTAAATCTCTTCCTTTCCTTCCACATCTCTTCCTTTCCCTGTTCCACAACACTGAGAGCTAACCAATAATCTGAGTTACACTCTTTCAAATAAACTGGTAATATAGTTCCAGGGATTAGGATGTGGACATCTTTGGAGTACTGTCATTCTTCATACCATACCACCATTCTATCCCCCTGTCTCCCTGTACTCCGGGTTTTTACCACTGTGAACAAGACTGGTCTGATCATTCTGGACATTGTCTTTCATTGCACATCAGTAAGAATTTCCTTTCGCTATGAACCTAGGAGTGTAATATCCAGGTCATGAGTTTGTGAATGTTTATATTACTTTCCAAAATGTTGGCATTAACTTATGCTCTGTTCATTGTATAGAAGAGACACCATCGATCCATATCCTCTTTAAATAGGACATAAAGTGGTATTTCATTATGGTAAAAAAAATAAGGAAAGTCTTACATATCTTGCAACATGGATGAACCATGAAGACATTATGCTAAGTGAAATAAGCCAGTCACAAAAAGACATGCTGTATGATTCCGCTTAGCTGAGGTACTTAGGATAGTCAGAATCATAGAGACAGAAAGTAGAATGGTGGTTCCTAGGACCTGGAGAGGAGGGAAGAATGGGGAGATATTGTTTAATAGGTTTCAGTTTTACAAGATGGAAAAGGTTATGGAGATGGATGGTCATGATGATAGGACAGCATTATGAATCTATTTAATACCGCTGAACTGCAGGCTTAAAAATGGTTAAGATAGTACTGTATATATTTTACTATAATGAAATAAATTGAAAAAAATTAAATAGATTTGCTCTGGCAGTATTACCACAGAACAGGGTTTCTTAAGTGTCTATGGTATTGACCCAGTGATTCCATTTTTTTTTTAATGATTTTATTTATTTATTTGACAGAGAGAGACACAGCGAGAGAGGGAACGCAAGCAGGGGGAGTGGGAGAGGGAGAAGCAGGCTTCCCACTGAGCAGGGAGCCCGATGCGGGGCTCGATCCCAGGACCCTGGAACCATGACCTGAGCTGAAGGCAGACGCTTAATGACTGAGCCACTCTGGCACCCCTCCATTTGTATTTTAAAAGAGCAATCATTACTGGAGGAAAATGGAATAGTGAGGTTTATTTGGGAGACTTAGTAATTTAGTTATAAGCCTTCTCTACTTTTCAGTTTGGAAACTTCACTAGCCTACCAGTTATTAGA